TCTCTCTGAATTTCAGCACCATTCTTTAGCCAGTGAGTAACTAGAAACACTCCTGTCAGCTCATTTCCGTGAGTCCCTCCAAAGACAGCAATCTTTTTAATAGGTTCTTCAGCAACACAAGAGGTCATTTTACCAAGTAGTCTGGTCTGATTTCTGCAATTCACAAGAGAGGAGGTCAAAGGACGCTTAACTCCTCAGAAAAGTTTCCAAGTGTAGAACTAAGTGAGAGGTGCAAAGTACAGAGTTCTCTCGAGTATTTAACAATTGTTTCTGTGACAACTTCTGAGTCTGTTTATTCTATGGACACTCCCTTCTGTAGCCCCTCCCTTTACCATGTTTGGATTAAAATATGCAAAGATCAACCAGAGATGCAGCTGTTAACTTCCAACTCCCTCAGATGGTCAGCAGATCTAAGCACAACTGTGTTAGCATCTCCTGCTACAAAAATTTTGTTTTCTGTTCAGGATGATTATTTATAATAATAATAATAATACCACATAAATCCCAATCCTCCCAAACACAATAATGTGGCTTATTCAGTGTTTGTGTTTCCACTGACATTTAAAAATATTTCTGAATGAGTAAGGAACTTTTCCTGATCTGAAAACACTTGAGTCTCTCTTTATAAACAGTCAAGGACAGGTGCTCAGACCTCCTCTCAAACAGCATGCTTTCTCCCAGCATGCCTTTCTGCAATCAGAGACACAAAAATCCAGTTAGTGATGGGGTCGGTGACACAGCACACTGGGTAGACGAGTGGAGCAGGCGAAACCTCGAGGAGTTCTGTCTTAGGAAGGGAACCAGCTTCTAAGAGCTGTCCTCTGACCACACTTGTGTGTCTCCCTTCTCTCTCTCTGTCATACACACACAAATAATGAATAAAATAAAAATTATTTTTGAAAAGTGATTTTGAAACATCTTTAACTTCTTTCTCAAGAGCTTTTTGCTAATTCTGTTTTTTTAAAATTTTGTCTAAATACCAAACAAAAAGCAACTGTTAGTAATTCTCAAGTCCTTTTAATGCCTGAAAATATCTTGCAACATAATATATACAAAATAACATATAAGCATATATCACACATATATTTTATCTACATCATTTGAGCTATACAGATGCAGTCTCATTTACTAGCATCAAAGACTGTCTTCTAGAATGCGTTGTTCTATAGGAGGTCTTATTAGGGGAACTTATCCAGATGATTATAAGATGATTATATAGCTTTGGAGAAATGACTCTGAGTGCTCAATCACTCAGAAAGCCAAGAATGTTAAATCAAGTACAGGAAATATTATATATTAGCAACATTAGGTTGTTTGGACACAATAAAGTCATCATCACCACACAGGGTAGATATGTTAATCTATAATGTTTCCCCACAGACATTTGCTTAAACTATTCAGAAATCCACTTTATAAAATGTAACGGGTTGGGCTGACATCCTCATTGCAAGGATAAAGAAAGAAACACTAAGCACCCGATTAAGTTTCCACACTTCCATAAAAGAAAGCCAGGCCTGGGGAGCCATGTTTCTCATTAAGGCCAGTGTTTGCCACAGACAACAGGGTGCCTCTGTTATTTGTGGACTCCTCTGAACTTCTAATTTTGCTCTTTCAGAGTTCACATAGACAGCCAACACAGTGTAGAATCCCAAAACCCACAAACAAAACACACGATGGAAATACAAAATACTCCATAGTATTTAATAAGCCAATGCCTCAGTTCTTCTTTTAAGAGATGATAATGCTGTTATAAAGCCAAGTCAATCTGCTTACACTTCAAAATGACTGCTGTAATCTAAGGCAAAGTCCCTGTAGCCACTGGTTTTCTCTCTGCCTCAGCATACACTAAACACTTGATGATGAAAACTGGCCAGTGTAAAGAGAGGACATTCTCTTGCCCCTGTGGCTTGAATGAACTGCGGGGAATCGGTCCCACTCTGCACGGCTGTTTCTTTCCTGCCGACCCGTGGTTTGTTCTGCCCTTTGCCCTAGTCTCTCTGGAAATGCCGCTTCAGTAGCTTACTCATGGCAGGCACCAGTGACTCGAACTTTGAGGCTTGTTTTATGGCATTTTAGCAGGTCAGCGTTTTGGAGTACTTTCACATTCCTAAAGTTTCTGTTGTGTCCAAACGAGTAACTTCCTGGGCAATTAATGAACGGCAGCAATTCTTATACTTACCTTGTTTATTGAGTACCGTTTGTCTCCTGCAGAAAGCCCTTATTAGAAAACGAAAGCATTTGCTTAGAACTGGAGCAACACAGGCTTCCACTCTCTTACACCAAGTTAACTTCCAAGAGGGTTTTAACTCCCGGTTTCCCAAAGCACTAACTCTGCTGCCCATAGCACCTGGCAAAAAACTTACTCTTTTTATTAGTTATTTTTTGAGAGCTCAGAGAACTGATAGAATACTGAGTGAAATCATTACTAGTTGTCATCATCTATTGATTAAAAAAATGTTACTTGCAGCACTATGATTTTTTATTTTTTGGACAGGTCTTGCCACATAGTCTAGCCTGGCTTCAAACTCCTCATGTAGCTCAGACTGGCCTTGAATTTGTGAGTCTCCAGCCTCAGCCTCCTGGATGATAAGATCATTAATTTCTTTTTCTTGTTTTGGTTTTTCGAGACAGGGTTTCTCTGTGTAGTTTTGGTGTCTGTCCTGGATCTCACTCTGTAGACCAGGTTGGCCTTGAACTCACAGAGATCCACCTGGCTCTGCCTCCCGAGTGCTGGGATTAAAGGCACCAGCACCACCTGGCAAGATTACTAATTTCTTAATGAAATTATGTAGTTTAAATAAGTCAAAGGGACAACAGAGTTTGAATTCATAGCATGGCTAGCCAATTAGAGTAATGCCAGAAATTTCGTAGGAAGGAAATTTTAGCTGAGACTGCTCTGAAACCGTGTCAGAAGATGCTCTGGCTTGCTTTCTGTTGCTGTGATGGAATACTCACTCTGGCCAAAATTAGGGGAAGAAAGTGACTTCCGGGTCACAATCCATCCTTTTGGGAAGTCAGGACAGGAACTTAAGCAGGAACTTGAAGCAGAACCCCTGGAAGAAGGCGTGCTGACTCACTCTCTGCCTCTGTTCAGCTTTCTTTTTCTTTCTCTCTCTCTCCCCCCTGCCCCAAGACAGAGTTTCTCTATGTAACAGTCCTCAGTGTCCTGGAACTCACTCTGTAGATAGAGCAGGCTGGCCTCGAACTCAAGAGATCTGCCTGCCTCTGCCTTACCACCTCCTGGCTTCAACTAGCTTTCTTATGTCACCCAGATCCAATCACTGGTACCAAGAGCTGGTACCACTCACAGTGGGTGGGACCTCTCACATCAAGTATCAATCAATGTCACCTTTTGAAGACATAGACACAGGCCAAACTGATCTGAGCAATCCCCCAACTGAGACTCCCTTAGATGATTTAGCTCTCACTAGAGTTCAAGTTGTGATTTTTTTTTTTCCCGGTGCTGAGGATCCAATCCAGGGTTTCATACATTCTAGGCAACCACTCTACCACTGAGCCATACCTGATCTCTTGTCCCTTTTAAGAATGAGAAATCTATTATTTTGAATACGTATTGTACTTATATTTATGTATGCATATATCAAGTCAAAATCCATTTCCTTGAAGCTTATGATACTCAAGTTTTTAAGTCTTTTATCTGGAATCACGATGGATACTTTTCTTTTTTCCTTTTTTTTTTTTTAAATTTTTGAGGCAGGGTTTCTCTGTGTAGCCCTGGCTGTCCTGGAATTCACTATATAGACCAGACTGGCCTCAAACTCACAAAGATCCACCTGCCTCTGCCTTCCAAGTGCTGGGGTTAAAGGCCTATGCCAGCACCGCTGAACTTTTCCAGACATTTTATTGAAATCTTTTCCCAAATTAAAAATGCTCAAAGTTTATTCCTTACCCTGCCATCCAAGGTCTGCTATAATTCAGCAATCTTCCATCTACTACCATTCTTATTTACTGACTTTCAAATATGTTTTTATTATCTTGTAGTTGTAGACCTTTACTAATAACCATCCCTCCATAGGTGCCCTTCCCACTTCTTCCCTTCATCTATGTTACATGGCCAGAAGACAGGGCAGTAAGAGGACATGGTCTTTGAGCTCAGACATCTACACTAAATTCCTGGGCTATATTACGATAAGTACCCCAAAAATGGCAGCTACTGTTTGAAACAAGACTTAACCTTTATTGAGCACTTACTATGTCCCAGGACAGATTAATATCTTTTAATATTTTAAGGCAACTAAGTAAATATTGTTATTGCTATTTTATTGAGGAAAGCAATGTAGACAGAAAGGTTAAGTTTGCCAAAGTCACAGCCAAGAACTCCCAGTTTTTCCAGGCAGGAGGCTCGGAGCTCGGAGCTCAGGTTGCCATACCACTGGCTTCCTTTGGAGAGTCCCTCTGTGGTCCACGTGCTCCTTTGCTCTCCTCAACAACTGCACTGGTTCTGCCTTACTCTTCTTTGCTTTGGAGGGGCTCAGTTCAAATCCGGTCTCAGCTTCCCACCGGCCTCCTGGAGGCTAAATTCCTTGCCTGATCCATGGCATCAGATGAGGCAAGACACACCTTGTTTTGACGCCTTGGGAGTCATTCTCTTCTAGGCATGGTCCAGGATGCCAGCAGCAGCTTAGAAAATATCTAGCGTCTGGGAAACGGGCAAGGCGTAAGAGAGGCCATGATTATCTGACTGCTGGGGCAGAGCATGGCTGTGCTGGGGGCTCTCCCTCTGCCTCATCCACAACCAGAACATGTTTCTCTCTGTGGACAGAACAGCCAAAGAGGCAGAGCCATGCCTGTGTCGGCTGCGTACCTCACGAGCGAGAACGACAAGGGCTGCGCTTTTGACTTTCCCGGCAGAGAAACGCCAGCTGCCCTGTAAACTCTCGCGAGGCCTTCATGCACGGGCCGCCCTCTGCGCTTGCGCAGTCAGCAGCACGGGTGCTTCGGAGCGCGCCTGCGTGGATTGTCACGCCTGCGCACTGGCTCCCCGCGGTTTTCCCAAAACCGGCGACGGCAGTGCCGCGTCCTGTGTGTTTCCTGTTTCCTCTCCACGCGGCCGCGGAGGGAGGCGAGGTTAACTCGAGGGCTCCGTTTGTACATGGTGTTGGCAGGGGGTTCCAGAAAGGGAAATCCCGTTTGTTGACCCAAAATGGCCCCGGGACTGGGTGTGTTAGGCCAGGGGCGGGGAGCTGGAAGAGAACGTGAATTCTGACTGGAAAATGTCCCCCATCCTTCAAGGAGGGCCCCAAACAGGCCCTGTGGCCGCCTCTTGAGGCCAAGGTCTTAGGGAGGGTGTGTCCATGAGTTGGGTAGACCTTCCCCTTACACACACACACACACACACACACACACACACACACACACACACACCCCAGTTGAAGCAGGTTCACTTGAAGCAGGTTCACTTGGTAGTCACCGAGGATAATGTGCACTTCTTCCATGTATTTATTTGAGCCTAGCATACTGGTCTACACCTGTAGACCCTGCACTTGGATGATAGAGACTCAGAGACCAGTAGTTTTTTTTTTTTTTTTTTTTTTTTTTTAAACATTTATTTATTTATTATGTATACAGTGTTCTGCCTGCATGTGTCCTTGCAGGCCAGAAGAGGGCGCCAGATCTCATTACAGATGGCTGTAAGCCACCATATGGGTGCTGGGAATTGAACTCAGGACCTCTGGAAGAACAGCCAGTGTTCTTAACCTCTGAGTCATCTCTCCAGCCCCCGAGACCAGTAGTTTGAGGCAAGTCTGGGCTGTATGAGACCCAGTCTTACATGCCATAGTTTTAGGATATTTAAGGTATTCAGAATTGTAATCGCCCTTATTTAAGACCTCATAGGCTTAGGATGAGTTGATGTTTCTGTGTTGAGAAAAAAAAAAGTGGCCCAATCTCTTGTTGTGATTCCTAGAGTGGCACAAAAATATCTAAGTTTCCTGTATTCTGCTTTCAAGTTCAAGACACACAAAGAGGCAGTCTTAGGCCTCTTGTTTTTGAGTTTTACCTTTTCAAATGGTATTTGGACATTAATGTTGACCTGTTTGATTTTCATTTTAGTTGTGTTCACATCAGTCTGTCTCATTGGGCAGTGAATTTGAAGCAGAAATTATTTGGGTTTGTGTCTGGCCTTTTCATGGGCAAGTATTTGTTAAACAAATTAAATTAAGATACAAGTATATTATGAAGCTAAAAGCAGACAAAATACAATGAAAATAATGTTTTACTTGTTTCTCTTAAGTCTGCCAGTGCCTTTAGTCCCTTTCCCTTACTTTGTGTGAAAATCTGTATATATTTAGAAAACAAGATTACACCCACCCCATCGTAACTTATTTGAACATAGCTGGAAAAATGGGCTAGGTTTCAAATTCTTAGTCATAAAGCAATTCCTGAAGTGATCACATTTGAAAGTTTTAAACCATAATGTCCATATTTAGTAGGCTGAAAAGTTGATCTTGTTGATAAATATGAGTTACAAGTTTTTTCCTTTGAAGGTTTAGTCAGCTTCATTTTGTAAATGTCAAGTGCTAAGTAAAAAAAAGCTTTGATACTGAAGAAAATGAAGAGAAACCTAAATGAAAGTTCAACTCGAAGTACAGCAGGTATCGAACAACTTTTAAATTTTTAGGTATTTTTCAGATACCACATAAACCATGTATAGTTTCTAGGAACATTTAGAAGGAACTTTTTAAAGAGATTAAACATTTAGTCTAGCCTCTTTTCTTTTTATATCCAAAAGAGGTAAAGTAAGTTTGTCAAGGCGAATTATTTAGTACTAGAGAGATGAGAGTCAAGTTAACCTTACTGAGATTTACTCTCATGCTTTTTTTCTACAAAACTTGACTGATTGATTTACTTATGCTTGTAAGCCAGAAACAAAGAAATACATTTTTGTGTTTTTGTGATTGACTTGTTCAAATGCTTTCAGACACATTTCTGTTTTCTAATATTTTGTGTTTATATTTTCTCAATTATTAGGTAATGTAAGGATAGCAGTCAAGAATGATGAGAGCCAGGGAAATGATTATAATGTACAGGGAAGAGCATCATAATAATTTATGGTGGGCACACCATATTCTAGACATTTAATTTGAGGTATTATTTAATCCTTATCATCACTTCTGTTTTCTGGATAAGAAACCAAGGCACAAAGACCTTAAATAATTACTGAGTGGTAGAAACAGGACTGGAACCTAGAAATTTCTGATTTTAGAGTCCATACTCTTAATAATTATGTTACACTCCTCTGTATGTATCATGGGCACAAAGAGTTTAAGGAAACTGCACACATTTAACTTTGAAGTTGTATTTCAGATTCACTTTGAAGGCACAGTTAAAACTCAAGGGCCTACAAGATCTAGTTTTTCATTAGAAAGTGTCCAGAGTTAGTATTCTGCAGTACCGTGAGAATGGGTCAGTGAGACAATGGTAATGTGTCAAAAGTTTCTGAACTGAGATTTAGGAACTTGGGTCCTATTTAGGTTTTCCTAGTTCTTTCTTTGAAGACTTCTTTTGACCCTGAGTTCCTTTGTAGCTTTTAAAATTTATTTATTTATTTATTTATTTATTTGACTGGAGATCCTGTTTCTTCAATCTGGAGGAAGTGGTGATAGTATTTATTTTCACTTGGATTGGGTATTGTCATTCCTTTAAGACAGTGGTTCTTAACCTGTAGGGGGTTTGCATATCAGATATCCTGTATATCAGATATTTACATTACAATTTATAACAGTAGCAAAACTACAGTTATGATGTAGCAAGGAAATAAATTTTATGGTTTGGGTCACCACAACATGCTGTATTAAAGGGTCATAGCATTAGGAAAGTTGAGAATCATTGTTTTAAGACATTCTCAAAATGATCCATAGAAAAATATCATTATAGATAGCTAGGACATTTGTTAAAATTATAATTTTGGGTTCCAGACTAAATATATTGAAATTAAAAATTTCAACATTGGAGATTGTGACCTTGGAACCCACATGTTAATCAGAATTCCAGGATAAATCTTAGTCAAACTGAAATTTGATAACTTTGGCCCTAGAGGCTGTCTGTCACACACTAAAGCATGGTTAGATTTTTGGCAAGCATGATTGATCTTTCTTAGCTTGGATATATTCTATAGGTACTCTGCAGCTGATAAGGAAAAGACAAGAAGAAGAGGGAAATAAGGAAAAGAAGTAGATTTGGGAAGTGTTTGGGGGGAAAAACAGAGACAGGGATTGCTTACAAGTAAGAATTAAAATGGTAAGATAGAAGAAGAAAGGACTTTAGAGATGCCAGTGAGCTATTTAGGACTTCTAAAAGATTATAAAAATCATTTCAAGGGCATATAAATATATCTGGTATATTAGCAAATAGAAGTAGACAAACTATGCATCATTACATATTATTAATGGTAATTAGTCTAGAAGTAGATATACTTATTTACTTGTTTTATACTAATTTATTGGTACATTCAATGTAGGCTGTTTGCCTGTGCCATTGTTCAATCAGAAAAAGAGGAACAGACAGCCATTAACTTCTAATCCACTTCAGAATGATCCAGGTATCAGTACTGTTTCTGACAGTTACGGTTCCCCTCCTCTACCCACAGGTAAGAAAATGAATAAGGTGAAAATTTCAAGAGGTATGAATTGAGATTGCAGAAAGTTACTGGGTCTCTCATTGCAGCTAGTCCCTGCTGCTTTTCACTGCCCAGATATAGAGAAGACTTGGCTCCTTCTGAGCATTCCAGCATGGGAGTTTGAGTTGCCTTGTCTACGAGGGTGGCTTAGCATTTAAATAGAGTATCTTTATGTCTGGAGCCTTTGTTCTAATAAAGTATAAACCTACATTGAAAAGATTATTTTTATTTCTCAAAACATAGATTACTGTGACTTATGTACTTGGTAGGAAAGAATGAAAGGATTTGAATTACATCACAAACAGGGAAAAGTGTATATAGAGTATGAGAAAAAAGGGAAAAAATAGACTGTAGAAAAGGCATAAGCCCAGGAATTTCTGGAGCTTGGTTCTAGTCATTGCTTTCTAGGGGCATTTTTGCCTGTCTTTCTTTGTCTGAAAATTCTTAAGTTGAAACTTAACCACTGAGTAGGAGACGGGCCTTTAGGAGGTGCTAATAGTTGTGAGGACTCTACCACTACGTACAGGATTAGTGACCATATAAGAGAAGGATGAAGGAGAAGTATGTTTGCTGCTTTTGTCATGTGAGGATACACTAAGAGGAGCTCTCTGAAGCAGAGAGCATGCTTTCACCAAACCTGGTTTGTTGTCACCTCAATCTAAGATGTTGTAGTCTCCAGCACTGTCGAAAGTTCCTATGTGTAAATTACCCAATTTAAGATATTTTGTTCTAAGATACACTCATCTAGTGTACCCTTATAAAGCTTCAACTAGCACATTATATAAGTTGCCGTTGCTGGGAGTTTACATATTCTAGCTTTACTTCTTAGAGATTGACAGCCTTCGGTAACTCTTGATTAAGTTTTGGAGTCAGGAAGCTTCCAATATGTGTCACCTTTTAAGTGAGACCACTGAAAGCTTGTCACCCTGTGAACCAGTAAGCTATAGTGGTGAGTGTTGGGAGATCTTAAATGTTTGTCGACTTCATTTTTCACTTTATTTATTTGTGTATGTGTGTGCATGTATGTTCCAGAGATGAGACGCAGGTCACCATGCTTGATGGCAAGCCTTCCCACTAAGCCATCTTGTTCATTGGCTCAGTGTTCACTGACTTTTTACCTACCTCTGCACTGATAGGCAGACATTCTGAAATGTATTTGGTACATTATGTTACATATGTATTTAAATTTTGTGGACAGACTTTAAAATTATTAATGGAATCATATGTGAATAAAATATTAAGATTTTTTTTTTTGGTTTTTCGAGACAGGGTTTCTCTGTGTAGCTTTGCACCTTTCCTGGAACTCACTTGGTAGCCCAGGCTGGCCTCAAACTCACAGAGATCCGACTGCCTCTGCCTCCCGAGTGCTGGGATTAAAGGTGTGCACCACCACCGCCCGGCCTAAGATTTTTTAATGTATAACAATACTCATTTTAAATTTCATTTAGTGTACTTCCATATACTTTGATTTAGTCATTAAATTGTTTTACTAGGAATTTAAAAGTATAAAGTTAACATATAACATTCCCATTTTCAAAATTTGAATTTTATTATTAGTATGTGTGAATGAGTGCACTTGTATGCATATCATGATGGTATGTGTATGTAGGTCAGAGGACAACTTTTGGGAGTCAGTTCTCCCATTTCACTGTGGATTCTGGTATCAAACTCAGAATATGAGACTTGCATGGCACATACCTTTACCCACACAGAGAGCTATCTTTGGCCCTCATTTCTTTTTTATGGATAAAAAGTAGAAAATGGACATGCATAAGTCAGCATTTATCTTATCATTCTTTACCACTTAAAATCTTCCTCACCATTTAAAATGTTTAGTAAGTAGTGTGCATACTGATTTTGAGAAATTACAAGTGTGAACTATTCCATGAGGAAATATGAATTTTTATCTTGACCTATTAGTTTGGGGTACAGTCAACTTTTAAAAGAAGAGAATAACATCTGTCTTGTGGCATAATGGGCAGGGCAAAGATGTCCCCCCAGTCAATGCCTGGGGCAGGTGGGAGAGCTGGCCCTGTGGTCATAAGAGTGGAAGAGCTGTTCTTGACCCCCACCAGCTGCAACACTCGGAGAATAGGCCCTGCACCCCGTCAGGGCACCACAGCCGATCCAACCCTGTTAGCAGAAGTGTGGGTGAGCCACCCCTGAAATCGTGAACATGAGACAGCTGTTCCCATTTCCCATCTGGTGGACCCAGGGTATGACTTGGCCTGCTCCAACATCCACCCCATCTATGATTTGCTGGAGCATGTGAAGGAACCTGACATGCAGACCCAAAGCTGCAGGATCTCCACAACACAGGGCAGCAGTGGGATGTCCAGGAAGAGTCCTAGTGGTAGTAGGGCCCCAGCATCGAACAGGTAGTGGAGACCAGGGGCCTCGAACCAGACCAATGACTCTTTGCAATGAACACTTGCAAGTAGAGATGTATGGACAAAGGGGTATACGGCGTGATTTGTTGGGTCACACTGCAGCTTCCATGATGAGATTTTTAATTCCTTCCCTTTAAAATTTTTTCCTCATTTTATTTTCTTCATTTTTTTCTCTTGAATTTTGTTTTATTTGAGGGGAGGGGCAGGGGCAGAAGGATGAGGAATGAATGGTATCAAGATACATGATGTGAAAAACATATAGAATAAAAAATTTATTAGTAATAATAAAAAAAGAAGAGAGTAAGAGAATAGAGAGATGGTTGAGTGGTTAAGAGGGATTATTGGTTTTTCAGGGGATCTGAGTTTGGTTCCTAGCACCCATGTCAGGTATCTTCCAACTTCCTTATAACTCCAGCTCCAGGGGATCCTCTGGCCTCCATGAGTACCTGTACTCATGTACACTGTGCCCCATAATTAAAACACAAAATAGAAATCTTTAAAACATAAGAGAGTAACTAGAACAGAGTAGAAAATGTCAGTGTATATCATGCATATTAGAGATTAGATTTGATGTTAAATTTTTGTTCTTACCCTCTGATTCTGTGTCTCTGTTAGTCTCATATACTAGCTATTTAGTTACCAGTTATGATGCATTTCTTGATGTTGGGTAGAATAAAGTTTAAGAAACATTGGATTCGACTAAATTTATGTTGCCAATTACAAGGCATTATATTAGGATTGATTGTGAAAAAGACAGATTAAACTACTATCTTTACAATGGGGAAGAAAGACATTTATAAAATTAGGCAGGCTATGACAAATCCCACAACCAATTGCTGCTGAAGACTGTGTCTATATCTTTCACTTGTTAGAGCTCCCAAATTAATTAAATTTAAGGAATTATTTTGAAAAAAATTATCTTATTTTTAATCTGTTCTTATACTTTTGAGATTGGGCATGGGAAGCTGTGAATCCAGAGGTGACTCCTCTAAAGAAAACAATGAATACAAGGTATGTATAAAAATAAGAACCAATAAATGTGTGTCTGTTACTGACTGATGTTACTTTTCTGGATACATTTTACATTTCTCAATTTGAAAACAAACTGTATTTAACAAGATATTTCCTTGAAAGGCAAATACCAGCATCTGCGTCTTATCCCCTGAAAAGTCAAGATTCTGTGTCTAAATCTATTCAGTCAAATGCTGAAGGAAGCCAAAGTGGTTGGGGGTAAGTCTGCCTATGCTTTCTCCTCTTCTTTCCTTATAAAAACCTTTTTCTTTCTTAGAAATACATTTAGGCAGTTTCTACATTAATAAATAACTGATAGTTGAATATAATCTATGTCCACATTCCTGTGTACTTTAAATTACACAGTGTAATACATTGTAAATATTATGTAGTTGTCATGGTGTACATAAGTAATAATGACAAAGTATATGTTGGTTATAGCTGTAATTTTTTTCCAAATATTTTTATCTGTGGTTTACTTTGATCTGTGGAAGTAAAACTTGTGGATATATATGGAAGTCTTAAACTGACTTAAAAATAGTAGGTTTTCATACAGCTTTTTTCATATACTTTTTGTTTTATGTCCCTGATCTTCCCTGTATACCTATCCTCATTCCTACACAAACTCTCACACCCCCAGTATTACCTATTTCTACTTTCATATCGCCTATATTCTGTTATGCTTCCATTAAGGTACTTCCTCAGTGTCCCCTTTCTAGCTTCTTGGCCTCTATAGGTACTCTAAGTTAAACATAGGCATCTAAAAAAATTGAAGCCAGAAGTCACATATGAGAACATGGCCTTTGTTGATATGAGCCTGTGTTTCCTCACTTAGTATAATATTTTCTAGTTTCATCAATTTATTGGAAAATTTCACAAGTTTTCTTTACAACAGAATAAGATTCTACTGTATATATGAATCATATTTTTATTATCTCTTCATTGCTAATGGACATCTAGGCTAATTACCTTTCTTTGCTATTGTAATTAGACCTGCAATGAATGTGGATAAAGAAGTATCTCTGTAGTAGGATATAAAGTCCTTTGGGTATATAGCTTGGTCATATAGTAGTTCTGTTACTAGATTCAAGAATTTCATACACATATACAATGAAATATGACTATATATAACACTTATTTCCTACTCCAACTCTTCCATGTATTTCAACATGTCCCCTTTTCAACTTCATGTCTTGTTTTTTTTTTTTTTTTTTGGTTTTTCGAGACAGGGTTTCTCTGTGTAGCTTTGGAGCCTGTCCTGGAACTCACTCTGTAGCCCAGGCTGGCCTCGAACTCACAGAGATCTGCCTGCTCTGCCTCCCGAGTGCTGGGATTAAAGGTGTGTGCCACCATCGCCCGGCCTTGTTTTTTTTTTTTTTTTTAGTAAATTTATTTTACAACATCATTTAGTTCAACATAATAGCCACAGATTCCCCTGTTCTCCCACTCTCGCCCCCCTCCCCCTCCCCCCACCCCACCCCCCATTCCCACCTCCAGATCAAGGTCTCCCCCGAGGACCGGGATCGACCTGGTAGACTCAGTCCAGCCAGGTCCAGTCCCCCTTGTTTTGTTTTTTGATACAGGATATCTTTATGTAGTCCTGCCTATCCTGGAGCTCACTATATACACCAGGATGGCCTTGAACACACAGGATTCCCCTTGCCTCTGCCTTCTGAGTGCTGGGATTAAAGATGTGTGCCACCCTCCCTTAAATAATCCACTAAATTCAATTAGTGTTGTCCATATGTGCATGGGTGTGAGGCTACCACTGAAGCATGGGAATCTTGTCGGTGGCACATCATCAAAAAACAATAATTCTTCTCCATCAACTATCAGCTGCCAGTATTTCCTTGTAGGGGGTGAGGCTAGAGATTATCTATTGCCTCTATGCTGGAAGTTCGACTGGCTTGATTTTGTGCAGATTTTGTGCAGGTAACCCCAGCTCCTGTGAGTTCATGAGCGCAATTGCCATATCATGTCCAGAAGACAACATTTCATAGCAACCCTACCTACCTTCCCCAGGTTCTTATATTTCTAGTGTTTTTGAGACCTTCCACACTTAATTTCCATAGTGGTTGTACCAGATTGCACCCTTACCAACAGTAAATTAGAGTTCCTCTTTCCCACATCCTCATCAGTATTTATTATCATTTTATTTCTTCATAGTAACTCTTCTGACTGTGATGAGATGAATCTCAAAGTAGTTTTATTTGCATTTCCCTGGTGGCTAATGGACACTTTAAAAAATGTTCATTAACTATTTGTATTTTTTTTTGAGAGCTCTCTGTTTAAATTTACAACCCACTTTCTTTTGATTAGGTTGGTTGTTTTCTTGGTGTTTAGGTTTTTGAGTTCTTTGTATATTCTAGACATTAATTCCCTGACAGAAATATATCTGGCAGAGATTTTCTGCCATAATGAAGACTGCCTCTTCACTTGACTGACCATCATGCCCTTTGCTGTACAGAAGTTTTTTAATTTCATGAGGTTTCATTTGTTAATTGTTAGCCTTATGGCCTGTGCAACTACATTTATTTAGAAAGTCCTTAACTGTGCCTTTATCTTGTAGAGTTTTCCTTACTTTTCCCTCTAGTACATCCAGGTTTTGTTTTGAGATTTTTAATCCATTTGGAGGTTTTATTTATTTATTTATTTATTTATTTATTTATTTATTTATTTATTTTTTGTTTCTTTTCTTTCTTTCTTTTTTTTTTTTTGGTCAGGGTAAGAGATAAGGACCTGTGGGTTTTTTTTTTTTTTTTTTGTGGTGGATAGTGCATGAAAGTCTAATAGTGAAAGTATACCAATCCCAAGCAAAGCTCCATGCCTTCAGAATAACTCTTCTAATTACATAGAGGTTCACTGAGATGTATGGACTTTGGGTCTAGGCATGTGCTTGTTTGAGTAGCTGAATTAATATAGCTTTTTTTTTTAATTTTCTAATTCTTTAATTGGGCGCTTAAGTGTTCTGTGTTTGTTTTACTCAGAAATCTAAAAATCTTAAAATCATTGATTTTAAGAACCAGGATAAATTCTGTTTTTGTTTTCTGGGAATATGACTAAGATAGCATGTTTTATAGTGATTCTCAGTGATTTGTTTTTATAATATAAAGAGCATGTGTGCAAAGTTACATATAGGAGCGTGGAGGGGTCAGGGGCAGCTGCATCATGGAAAAGCTTACCCAGCATAGCTGATGACTCACAGAGGCTCATCTCTGGAGTTCCCTGCACATTAGTGGGTACCTTAGCCAAAGAGTGTCAGCTCTGCAACAGTTTTTTGCTGCTTATGTAACTGTGGGAAGGGCCTGAATCTTGTGATTTTCTGAGTCTTGTGAATTTCATTAGCTGCCTAAATCTTTTGAGCCTCCTCTCCCATCTAGGAAGGAATGTTTCAATTCAGAGAAAATAGTTGCACAACAGAGTGTATCAAACCCTGAATGAATAGCAGTAATTCTAGTATTTTTCTGTATACTAATGATGTTTATATTGTTTATAACCTAAAGATTCATAATTGTGATTTCTCTTTTCATCCTATTTATTCTTAAATTTATACGTAATTTATTAAGTGTTTCTCAAACTGTTCAAGCCTTATGCCCCATAAAACCTAGGCTTTTTGCTGATCACTAGATTTTCCTCAGTCCTCTTTAAAACAGAGGATGGGTTGTATTGATTATCTTGCAATGCTTACAGTATTCATAATTAAGAACTTGTGAATTGGACTAGTTTCTCCTTTCCCTAGAACTCTTAACTGGCCTGCTTAGGAAATAATTTTGTATGGGTCTTATTAACATCCTACACTGACAAGCTTTTATAAGTCATTTAGATTAATGTGGTAAATAAATGCTAAAATAGGTTGGTTAGTAGGGCTTTTCAAAGCACAAAATATTAAATAACCTTACAGGCAAGCTGTACGTTTTTTTTTTTTTTTTTTTTTTTTTTTTTTACTTTGTAGAAAATTTCAAAATAGTATAAAGAATTAAGCAAAATTCCTCTCAATATTTCCACTTGGAAACTATTGTTATATGAAGGTTTGACTATTGTAAACACATGGTTGTAGCACTGTACTCTGAGTTGGGAGACTGGAGTTCTCTGAGTTCTGAACTTAGCAGTGACCTGCTGCTGTATAACTTTGTATGAGTCACTTCTTCCCTAAGGGTGTCTCTTCATCTGGAAAGAGAAGTACTAATATATTGTACCATTGTGTAATGAATGATGTGTTTGAAATTTCTCACTACTTAGTAGTTGTAAACCACTAATTGTCTTAAAAATGAAAAAAAAAATCATCAGTTGTTCCTAAATAAAAAGACAGAGAAGTATGTTTACTTTTACAGCTACAGAGGTGACAACAGAAATACCAGCTTGAGAACTTGGGATAAAAATGATTTCCGACCTCAGTGTAAAACAGCAAGCCCAGCAGCAAATAGTGAATTCAGTTCTTATGCAGTGAATCTGGGAGCTCAACGACAGAAACAGTCAGGAACACCTGAATTTTCTGATTTTCATGGAAACAGGGAAACTGAAGTACTCAGACAAACATGTTTCTCCAAAGTGCCTGGCTCTACAGTGAAAGGCCCGGACAGAGCCAGTGCATTGCAGGCATTTAAGCCCCGTTTTCAACAAAACCAGTTTAAAAAAACAGTGTTGGGAGACACTCCAGGAGAAAACACTCTGAAGGTAAACCGTTAAATATTAATGAATGGCTTATTTACATGTTTAAACATGTGTAGTAAGTATACATACATGGTGTATACAGATTCACATAAATAGCCAGTTTTTGGCTTTATGAACCTTACTGTCTTTGTTGTAGTTATTTTACTTCATGACTGAACTCTGCCATTATAACTTGGAAGCAGCCACAGACTTCATTAATGAATGAGCATGGCTGTGGTCCAATAAAAGTTGACAAAAACAGTGGGTTAGATTTGGAGTGTAGGCCATAGTTCACTGACTTCTGCTTTACAGTCTGGACCTGTTCTGCCTTTCCTGCCTTCTGCACCATATTACAAAGTGCTGTTCATCCTGAACTCTTCACACTGGAATAAATATGGTGTATATTATGATACCTCTCAGCTTTGAATTGTGTTCTTCTAGAGAACATGCACCTTTTCCTCAGCTGCACTTCTAATTGATCTTTGAAATGTTTTCTTTTTATGTGTAGGTTATCTTCTCTCTCACTCCTTTTCCCGTGGCCCAATAGATTGTTCCCGTGTGCATCTTGGTGTTCTGGAGGGCTGCATTTCCCTACCTGGTGCCTCACCCTGGGATCCTTTCTTTGCTGGCTTCAACTAGAGATCAGTCAATGGGTGGTTACTGGGAGGATGGGGGAGAGGTGGAAGTTTTGTTTTCTCCTTACTACAATATCTTATCACTAGCAATGTCTGTGTCCCTCCATGAGTCTAGTTTTCATGGTCTTGGTCATTTTATTTTTCTCCCTTTGCCTTTTCAACATTTTACTGTTGTTAGTGTTTGGATGCTTAAGTGCTCTATATTTGTTTTGATCATAATCTGAACATCTTGGTGTTTAGCAAGCAATTAGGGTCAATTCTGTTTTCCTTTATTTTCTGGAAATATGACGAAGATAGCATGTTTTTTAGTGACTCTCAGTGTTAATGCTACCTTGTACACAGGATGATATGTCATTGTCACCCTAGTAATAGTTGCTCACTGTGGCAGTCAACTTGAAGGAGGCATATTTAAATCCTGTTTAGGATGGTGAAGATTGGGACACTTTGAAAAAAGTTTCAATAGTGTTCTTTACAACCCTCACCCCCAGAAAGGAAATTGTGCCCCTACCCTTGAAAGTTAGCATCTTTTTTGCTTGTTATTTCTTTGTTTTAAGACAGAGTCTCACTATGTTACCCTGAACTCACTATGTACATTAAGCTGGCCTAAAACTCACAGAGCTCCTCCTGTCTCTGCCGCCTAAGTACTCGGATTAAAATCTGTATTTTCAGATCTTCAAACACACACACACACACACACACACACACACACACACACACACACACACACACACATCAGAGCACATAAGAGCACTGGCCACGCTTCTGAAGGACTTGGGTTCTGTTCCCAGCACCCGTATGATGGCTCACAACCTTCTGAAACTCCAGTTCTGGGGGATCTGACTCTGTTTTCTGACTTCTGTGGGTACCAGGAATACCCATATGTACACATAAGCAAAACATGTGGAAGTCAGAGGGCATTTGTGTGGAGGTCAGAAGGTCAGAGGGCATACGTGTGGAGGTCAGAGGACAACTTTGTAGAATTGTTTTTCTCTTTTTATCTTTTCATACGTTCTGGGGATCAAACTCAGGTCATCAGGCTTACATGGCAAGTGCTTTACCCAGTGGGCCATCTCTCTTGCCAAATATTTCTCTTCTTATTTAAGTACATTCTGGTTTTCACACTATAACGCAATGCAGTGTAATGCTGGCTTTAATTTGGGAATTTAATTGCATTGAAACTTTTAATAGTTCTTTTTACACATTATACACATTTATTTATTATAAGGACCTAGACTCTACATAGTTCAAAAAATATAATGAATAAAATGAAACACTTTTATAATGCAATGCTTTTTCCCCCAAAGGAAGCTCCCTTGCGTCAGTTAAAGGAAAAGGATAATTCTTTAAGAATTATTTCTGCAGTCATTGAAAGCATGAGGTATTGGCGTGCACAAGTGCAGAAAACTGTACTTCTTTTTGAAATATTGGGTAGGTATAATATTTCAAGAATACTTCAGTAATGTATTTGGATGTTTTTAATACAATTAGGAATACCTAGGGTATCATGAAGAATAACACAAATTGGATAAGGAGATTATGTTTATTCGGGGAAACGTAGGCTGGCTTCAAAATAACAGGTGTCTACTACCAGTACTCAGGAAATTTTTATTAAGTGATTGAATAACACCCTTTGATAAAAATTTCTGGTGCTAAACGTGAATTAAGACTTCTATTTATTGATGAAGAAACAGCTTTGAGAAATGAACAATTTTATCAAGGAGAAGGAGATAAGAAGATGTAGATTAAAAAATATAAACTTGCAATTATGTAGGATGAATCAGCCTAGAGAGCTAGTGTGTTTCATAAAACTATAGTAAATATGCATTAAAAATTATCTCAAAGGCATATCTTACATGCTTTTACCATACCCCAAAATGTAACTGTGGAAGGGGATAGACATGTCAGCTTGATTGCCAGAAGTAATGAAAACATTTGTGATCTATTTGTTCTTTTTTCTCTGTTCTTGTACATGTACATCTTACATGAATATATTACATTTTAGAAAATGAAATAAATCAAATTGAACAATGTCACAACATAGTATGAAGCTGAAGACCTGACACTAGAATTCTGATTCAATGTTGTTTTCATTAGACTATAAGGCTTATTTGTTGTTATAGTGCATTTTATTGTTATGAGAGCTCTGGAATTCAGCGAGCCTACAGAACACACCAAAAGGATCCAATTCCTCTGTAAAATACCACTGTATATAAGTAGAACTGGAGGAGGCTGTTATGGGATAATGCTTAAATATAACATTTTCTTTGTTAAATTTTATTTATATTTATCAGTATTAATTTCCACACTTCAATGTTGCTTAGCTGTCCTAGATTCAGCTGTCACGCCTGGCCCACATTATTCAAAGACTTTTCTCATGAGAGATGGGAAAAATACTCTTCCATGTGTATTTTATGAAATTGTGAGTATTTTAAAGTGTTCATTTTCAATGTCTATGGCTACTACCACCACCACCACCAAAAGACCACATGAAAATACAGGCCACAGTCCCATCACAGTTGAAAATCTTTTTTTTTTTTTTTTTTGGTTTTTTTGAGACAGGGTTTCTCTGTGTAGCTTTTCACCTTTCCTGGAACTCACTTTGTAGACCAGGCTGGCCTTGAACTCACAGAGATCCTCCTGTTTCTGCCCCCCAAGTGCTGGGATTAAAGGCGTGCGCCACCACCACCCAGCAAAATTCTTTTAGCAAAAGGACTATATAATTCATGAGCCATTATGGGAGATTATTAAAGTTTCCTGCAATCAACTTCTTTCTAGTTTATAAGAAGCCTTATCCAGGTTAGGGCCATTCATCTGTGACAAGTTATATGTGTATACCTAGCTATCTTGTAAGTAACACAGAGAATCATGTCATTGGGGTGTTTAACATTTAATTGATCACATTATAAATTAGACAATTGACGTTTAGATGAAGTAATAAATAATTTTTGATTTTTATCTTTTGAACAACAGGATCGTGAACTTCCAAGACTGATCAGAGGCCGAGTTCACAGGTGTGTTGGGCACTATGACCCAGACAAGAACATTTTCAAGTGTGTGTCTGTTAGACCAGCATCTGCTTCTGAACAAAAGACTTTCCAAGCATTTGTTACCATTGCTGATGCTGAGATGAAGTATCATACTAAAATAATGAATGAAATGTAAAGTGACAAAGGGAGTCATAAATATAGATTGAAGTATTTGCTCTTATTAATTTATCTCTTGCATGGCTTTATCACTCTTGTTTTTCTGTATTTCACATCTTTTTATAAAAATAAAACTTTTCTTATAGATTTGACCCAAACAGCGCAGCTAGATTTTTTTCTAATTTTGAAGTTTTATTGAGCTATGCTTTATATTTGCTAAATTTGAAGAACCACTTCAAATAAAAATACTCACTGCAATAGACAGAAAAACCTGGGACTTATACAGGGACGCTTGGCTCAGTCTGGGAGGAGGGGACTGGACCTGCCTGGACTGAGTCTATCAGGTCGATCTCAGTCCTCGGGGGTGGCCTTGATCTGGAGGTGGTGGGAATGAGAGGTGGGCTGGGGGGAAGGGGAGGGAAGCAGGAAGGGGGAGAACAAGGGAATCTGTGGCTGTTATGTAGAACTGAATAGTATTGTAAAATAAATAAAAGAAAAAAAAAGTTGGATTACAAAATATCTAAAATGTAACAGTTTTGTAGAGGAAAGGCAAATAGAGTAGTAAAAGTAAAACTGGAATGATACATGGAATGATGAGATTGTAGATGTTTTCTTTTGTTGTATTTTTTCTAGGAAGAACTGACAGTTAAGGAGTAAAAATGACCAATAATCTAATGAACAATAAAACAATATCTTTAAAAAAAAAAAGAAATAGATACTTCATCTATTTGATTTTAGCCAAAGGACTGAAAACTGTATCTTAGGTGTAGGTGATTCTTTCACATTAGATAATATATTTGAGTTAGCTCCCAAACCATCAGACTTCAAAGGACACTACTGGAGGCATCTCACTATCAGTGACAAGAGAGAGATGAGTATTATTTTAAGTGTTATTTTGCAACTGTTAATTTATGCAGGTCATTTAGTTACTTCAATTATTTAGAAAATATTTTGATTTGTTGAGAATTTCATACATTGTATTTTGATCAAATTCACTCCTTTCCCCAATTTCTCTGAGATTCCCCACTTTCATATCCACCCAACTTGGTGTCCTCTTTTAAAAACCCATGGACTCCAATTTGTGTTGTCCATGTAATTATGGGTTGACTTAAAGAATTGAACCTACTGTATTCTTTCTGTTTTTTTTTTTGTTAAAATTCAGGAAAAATTTAACTAGGATTTAAAAGCCGTTTGCCTATATATAACTTTAAGTTATAATTACCATTCAACAATGATGCCTCAAACCACTCTGGGCTTCTCTCTTTTGATTCATTGCATTACCTTCTCATCTGTGTGTTATGTCACTCCATTTTTCTTCTTTGCTGTCCTTGCTTTTGGGTGGACTCTTAGTCATATTTCAGCTGATCTCTTTCCTTGATTTACAGGATGGAAGTTAGACAAAGTGATGTGGTCTGATGCCTCCTAAAATGTTTTAACAACAGGAAAAATGTCCAAACTCTAAGAGCTTTATTTTCTCCACAAATGCCATAATAACTCATGAGTTATTTTTCAGTCTGAAATGATTCATGCTGTCTAGTCTGTGAAACTTAAAAGCATATATTGAGAAAAGTCTTATTTCCAGTTGCATTATCTGAGAGCTTTATCCAGTGTGGAGAAGTGAGAGATAGGATGCATTAAATAGGGAAAAGGGAGGCCAAATTATAGGGTAGCTTATTTGGCCACTACTAAGAGTTACTTAGACATTAGCATCTAGCACCCACATTTAAGGGTAGACCCATAGGCATTGATTCCCCTACAGTTTCAGGTTCTGAATGTGTGAGTGTCAGTTCATGAAACCATAGGAACCCAATGCTAGGGTACAAAAAAACAGGCAAAACAGGTCTGAGGTAACCCTGCCAAGACTCTACATCAGTGGTTCTCAACCTTTTGGGTTGTGACCCTCTTGACAAACCTCTGTCTCCAAAAATACTTACATTATGATCCGAAGCAGTAGCAAAATTAGTTATGAAATAGTAATGAAAATAATTTTATGGTTGGGGGTCACTACAACATGAGGAACTCTATTAAAGGGTCATAGCATTAGGAAGGTTGAGAACCACTGCTCTATGTGGAGCAGGTTGAAGTCTGCAGAATTTCTTGCCATAGCTATGTCTGGATTAAGAGAGGACAGATGAGAATCGGACACTATATAAGATATATTTGATAACATTTGAAAAAAAGAACATGTATAAACATTACTCACTGGCTCTATTCTATTAGACAGTGAGACTGCTAGTCAACAAGTGGGGGCTCTTTATGTTTCTGAACCAAAAGTAAAGAAGGAATTGCTATACTGTCTGAGGTAATTTAATCATAGCTAACAAGGAATAAAATACTTCTTGTATACAATGAGGATAAAGATCATGTCTAATTTCCAGGAATTTTATTTATATGAGCTTCATTCATAATTGCCCCAACTGGGAGCAACTAAGACGTTCTTTGTCAGGTTAATGGGTAAACTATGGTACTACAGACAGTGAAATGTCAATTCACAACTAAAAGAATCAGAAATGTAAGTGTATATTACTAAGAGAATAAAGTAAACCATAGGATCTTTTTTATGTCAACAAGTCAAAGACAGCTATTCTAGCAATTCAATGAAGGCAGTACTATTGAAGATTCATATTCCTGAAGAATGATGAAAAGAGAACACAGGATAAGTATAGAATGAATGGGACATTAAAAGTATCAACTATAATCTTATGATTGTCCTAGTTTGGGTTTTTATTGCTGTGAAGAGGCACCATGACCACGACAGCTCTAATAAAGGAAACATTTAATTGAGGGGGCTCGCTTACAGTTCAGAGGTTCAGTCCATCATGGCAGGGAGCATGGTGGCATGCAGGCAGATGTGGTGCTGGAACTGAGAGTCTTACATTTTGACTCAGAGGCAACAGGAAGTCCACTGACTGTCACACTGAGTGAAGCTTGAGAAAAAGACTTTAAAGCCTGACCCCACAGTGATACACTTCCAACAGAAGGTGTGGCCCAGATTAAAGGTGTGCTCTCCATCCTCAAGGTCTGGATTGAAGGGGTATGTCATCCAGCCTCCTCTGCCAAGACCACATTTTCTCCAACAAGGGCACACCTCCCAATAGTGCCACTCCCTGAGTTTATGGGGCCAAATACATTCAAACTATCACAGTGATCAAATGGAAAAGCTGACACTGGGAAGGTATCTAAGATCTAAGAAGACTGGTTAGGATGATGGTGGAGGGCACTATTAAGATTATTCCTAGAGAAGTTAGAAGCTAGAAGTAACTGAATAAGATACAAATCCGTTTTCCTTTCTCTTTTGGCTGGAGGAAGAATTGAACAGGATGTGGTAGAGTCTCTCTTTTCGCTTATTCCTGTCCTTCTTGTGTGTCTTCATATGCTTGGATCCTTGTAGTTGAAGGTTTCTCTCTTAGCTGGAATATATTTTTGGGGAATTTGGTTGTAGTGAAATATTCTGCTACCCTTGAAATATTTCTGAAATATGTCTCTTTCACAGTGGTATTCAAAGACCATAGATAGATTTTTGTTCTTATGATAGAGCCTAAGCTTTTTTTTTTTCAACTTTTTTTTTTCAAGACAGGGTTTCTCTGTGTAGCTTTGTGCCTTTCCTGGAACTCACTTTGGAGACCAGGCTGGCCTCAAAGTCACAGAGATCCAACTGCCTCTGCCTCCCAAGTGCTGGAATTAAAGGTGTGCACCACCACCACCCGGCTAGAACCTAAGCTTTAATGCTTCTAAGATATTTAAGAGTCTTCACAGCAAGGTCCTTGTTTATTTATAGGTCTCTAAAACTATTCTCCCCAAATACAGGATCCAGCATAAAGGACCACTGCTGATTCCCTAGACAGACAAAGAGTAAGCATCTCTCTGAGGTGCTCACTATCCCCATGGCCCCCAAAGTACAATAACACATGATCAGTGACTAATCAGTCACTGCTACAGGACTCCTAGAGAATTTGTCCTAGAGAGGTCTTGAATAATTATTTTGTCTTATTTAATGAGTTCCTCCAGGATCTAGACTCCTCTGGGATGCAGAGCCCCTTAGTCCCAGGGATGAGCAGAATGAGACATGTGAGCAGAGATGGTAGAGAGACAGGTGATGACCACTGAGGCTGTTTTTCCTTTGTCAATACTGAATAAATGGGAACAGGATCTTGGACCAGAGCCCTGGAGTCACCCTGAGACATTCTGGGTAAGTTGGGAGGAAGGTGAATGAGCTGGGACTGTCATGTCCTTAACTGAAAGGTCTTAATCTCCCAGGTCTTGTGATATTCTGCAAGACTTTTTTTTTCCAGATATATTTTTCATCTCTGTACCTCCCAGGCATTTTCCACATTGTAGAATTGTTCTGATTAGATGTTGCAACATATATTTTAGTATAGTATTCATTAGTATTAGTATGCAATATATTATCACAAGATTATATCATTTTAACATAGTGACATCTCTGTGAGGTCGGCATTTTGTACAGATGTTCTTGTTATATGTTGGATTATTCAAGAGTTGGTGACTATGTCAGAGGAGCTGCAATTGACTTCAGGGGATCGGCCCACCAACATGCCAGGCACTGATGGGTGAATCTCAGATAGGCAAGGCTCAGAGACCCTTGGCCCCAGTATGTCACTTACCACTGCTGTGTCTTTGCATGTTAGCTGCTGCCATTTGTGTTTTGTATCTGGCATGGTATGAATGGGTGTGGGGAGATCCCCATTGCTTTTAATGTTGTGTGATCATCTCCTGGAAATATCCCATTCTACTTGACATTTTTACCTGTGGATTATTATGAACATGATTTCCTCCTAAGCTGTACTGTTTAACTGAAGCAATGATTTTATACAATAATAGTGTTAGTTTAAATAAGGTTTTGATGATTGAGGTTCTTTAATGAATATAGTAAGGGATTATGATAGAGATTACTTTAGTGGGAGAACTAGTATAGGTAAAGGCATGGTGTCCCTCCCACCCCCCGCCCCTGATAGAGTAGGGGCTGCAGAGGATAGAAAATAAGAACAAGGAAATGCCACATAGCTAGTTTCTCTGGAGGAGCTGTGTAGACTGAGGTTTTGGGTCATGATTCAGAAAAACAATTGAGTCCCAGAAGCTAAGTTAGCTTAAGTTCTTTTAATATTGAGAGATGTGTTCACAGGTTTTGGTGCATCAT